GTCCTATGCCTCACAGCGGAAGAGGTGAACCAACCCATGTCAGAAATACTAGAGTTTATTCCTGGCTTAAAGGGATAGGTGTAATTATCTGAGAGGCAGCACAAACTGGTGTGTTCCAGGATTCCCCAGACTCACTGCTTTCGGCCATACGGAGGTACATGGAAGCAAAGGGAGCAGCTGCAAGAGACTGAGACACAAACACATATTTGTAGCCCTGACGACAGACTCAAGTATGAAAAGGTTCAAGATTGTTTGGGTAACTACTAAATTCATTTTCAAAGACGTTTAAAGTGGACAAAGTATCACTGTACTGAGTAAAAAAAAAATAATTCGAGTCAATTTTCCTTTGTTCTGTCAAGACTACCTACAGACTACCATCTCTACCAATCTCACAGAAGGCATTACAATGGAAGTCAGTTACCTTCCAAAAGGGGTGACCCAAATTCCTGATCACATCTTTAATGTCTCTATGTGGGTGAGAATCTGAGTCAGATCTACTCCAAGTTATGAGCAAATGCTACCAACTGGAGAGTCAAGTAAATTAGAAAATGCACCCTTCTAAATGTAAATCTTCTGTAAGGCTTGCCATAATCGGCTCTGAACTCCATTCCAGTAAAGGAATGCAAGTGCCGCAGAAGGAAGGCGATAGAAAGCGGGCAGTGTGACGTGGACAGGGGGAAGGGGCCAGATGAGGAAGAACAGACACCAGAAGTAAAAAGAGAGGTAGAAAGATGCCAAGGATAAACCTTGCCAACAGCTGCCTACTGTCTATTTTCTCTCACAGCGGGGTGAACAGTGAACAAAGCAAAGAAGATTCAGCTGCACATATTTTGGGGCACTCGTTAATTCATGCAAATCAGGCAAATACCAGTAAATGTAAACCAGAGTTGTGCATGGGAATTGAAGAAACTTTAGTAGCTTCCTCAGAAATGTCTATTTTGTATAGACAAAATAAGGGGTCTTGGTGGAACGGGTGGGTAGGCGTTGGATTGCTATCAGCAACGTCAGCAGTCCAGCCCCCCACCCCCACCCCAGCTGCTCCACCGGAGACAGAAGAAGCTATCGCGCCTGTCAAGATTGACAGCCTCAGAAACCTTACAGTCATGTCACTAGAAGTCAGAACGGACTCCGTCTAGGTTAGAGACATCACATGTTGAGAACAAAACAAGTTCCTGCTTCACACAAGTCTAGTGAAAAGAACAGCAAACTAGAACTTAAACACTTAGCTTCTAGTTGGGGTTTTGACCTAGACAAGTATCGGGATTTGGGGATTAATGAGTCATTAGATTTTCAGCAATTTTCACATTCTCTCAAACAGTAATTTTTTTCTTGAGTGTCCTCAAAAAATGAGCTGTTTTATGGTTTCTCTATCCTGGTTGCATAGGAGTCCTGGTGGCATAGTGGTCATGGCTTGAGCTGCTAGCCACAAGGTCAGCAGTTTGAAACTACCAGCTGCTCCACGGGAGAAAGTCAAGGCTTTCTACTCCTATAAAGAATTACAGTCTCGGAAACCCACAGGGGCAGTTCTACCGAGCCCTTTTGGGTCTCTATGAGTTGAAATCAACTCAATGGCAGTGAGTTTGATTTTCTGTTTAATCCTAGCTGCATATTAGTATTATTGGGGAATCTATGTATTTAGTATATTTATATTTAATTAAGAGATATATATTTAATATACAGGACTCCAGCCCTGAGAGATTCTGGTTTAATTAGTCTGGAATTAGGCTCAGTCATAGTATTTTTTTTTAAATCCCATGCAGTAGTGATATCATGAGGGTAGGGGGATGGTGGGGGGGAGTGGGCGAAAGGGGGAACCCATCACAAGATTGGATATATACCCCCCACCCCGGGGGACGAGTAATAGAAAGGTGGGTGAAGGGAGACAACGGATAGCGTAAGACATGAAATAACAATAATAATATATCATTGATCAAGGATTCACACAAGTGGGAGGGTGGGGGAGGGAAAAAAGAGGAGCTGATACCAAGGACTCAAGTAGAAAGAAATTGTTTTGGAAATGTTGATGGCAACATATATACATGTGTGCTTAATACTATTGAATGATGAATTATTATAAGATTTGTAAGAGCCCCCGAATAAAATAATTAATTAAAAAATCCCATGCAATTTTATTGTGTAGCCAGGGTGGAGAACCATTGGTCTATTTAATCATATGTCTATGTGAAGGACAAGTAAAATAATGCAAAATGCCCTTTCTCCTTTGGAAATTTATTTTCCCTGTAAAAGCTAACTTTCTTTTGACCACCCTTGCTGAAATCCTCATCACTTCCCTAGATTATTAACAAAATTGCCTCCTAGCTATTTTCCCTTCCTCCCATTTCCTGCCAATCCAATAAATCATTATATATTTTCTTGTCTAATCAGACTAAGAGTCAAGGTTGGGGGGATGGGGGGAGCCAGTTCCAGCAGGGAAGAGAATGAGCTAGAAGCAGAGGTAGGAATGAAGTTATTTGCATTGGTAGGCTAGAAGACAGATCTAAATTTAGCTAAAATATGTTTGGTAGCAATTAAATGAGAGAATGAATAAACCAAGTAAAGCCAAATTTGGGTAAGCCTGAAATCAAGGCATACGAGTGTATTTCTGAAACATTTTAAGTGTAATAGCATCCCCAAAGAGATCTGTGTCCATCAAATAGTGTATATTTGTGTGTATACATGTGTCCACATAAATATAATCTCCAACATGTGCTATTTTTTCAGGTCCTGTGTACCTACCTTTGTTTATACATAATGCACACTGGTATCTTTAGAACATAGCATCCCTAAATATTTCATGGCTGAATGTTGTCAAAAATGACTATCATCCACCCCATATTTTATCATTTAAAGGAAAAAAAGCAGCACAATATCTGTTTTATCCTATTTGAGTTTGAAAGGCTCCCACAAAGAGTATGCATATGTTAAACTGAAAAAATAAGGAAAAGAGGTAGAATTTCAGTAAGCTCTTGTGTTTACTGTAGACACTGCTAAAAGGTTAGGATGAATGGTTACCAAGAACAAAGATGGTTCTGGTTCATATTGAAGCCTGCCTCAGAAAATCAACAAAAGGACTAAAAAGTCAAAGATTATAACCATAGTTCATAATAATTCATATTTATGAGAAAAAAGTATCAAATAAGCTATAAGCAAGATATGAGAATAATGCACCAGGATGTTCCTTATGCCTTACGCATAATGATTTTACCATTTTCTCAGGAACAGCAAGACAAATAGGAGAAAGAAAATACAGCCAGCACTGCTAACTAAGTGGGAAAGACAATAAGTATCATGGGACTTCAAAGAAAAAGGAGGCTGATGCAGACTAAGTGTTGGAAACAGCTTCTTTTAAAAGCAGGGCCTAGAATAAAATTAAATGAGTGGAGAAAAGAAGGAAATCCCCAGCACGACTATCACCTTGTGTAAAGATGAAATAGAAATTCACAAATACATTTGAGGGGCAGGGACTTGACCTAGGTGGTACAGAGGGCTCCACTTGGGAGGACTTGAGGAGACAAGGTTACAACAGTGAAGGGGCTTGAATGCCAAGACCCAATACTTCAAACTTTGTTCTGTAGCTAGAGAAAGCCTCTCAAGGAAGTGCACAACAATAAGCAAAACCATTTGTACATTCATATAATGGATGATGCCACTTGGAACCATTTTTCTTGGAGCCCTTGAAGAACATATCAAGTAGTATAATTATCTTGCCAGTGCACTCATGAATATGAAAACATATTGTTTAGGAAATCTGTTCAGAGTGGAGTAAATACTCCAACATGCATTTCAAACTACAGAATCAGCGATCAATTGCATATCCATATTTGTATGAGTAATTCCTTAGTGAATCACCAGATGGAAGGGTTCAAATTTGGTTTTCTTCCTCCTTCCCACAGACCTTGGTTTGATATCCCCAAAGCGAATACCTAGAGATGCTCTTATTCTTGAAAGCAAGAGATAGATCTCTTCTTACTGCCCATTATGGATGGATTCCTGTCCTATGTTTTTAATAATGACTGTACCTATTAAAATAATTTTGTCTATGAAGTATATCAGGAAACCAGATGAAACAACCATAGGGACAACAAAAATGAAGATTGTGAATAGCAAAAAAAAACCTTTCCTGAAACCAAAACATACCTAAAATAATCAGCCCTGGTTTGAGGCAAAAGGGAAGGACAGTTTGTTCATAAAAACAACAACAAACACCATCTCCAACAAAGACTACCAGAGTGTATTTGAACATTACAAAGGCCAATTTCTCATTCAAAATGGTAAGTCAATAATCCACAACTCTGTGTGGAACGGGCTTCATTATTTTTCAACGGTGCGCTTGGATTTCTGGCTTTTCCAGCTATAAAAATTAAAACTCTAGCCTAACTCAAATGGAGGATTATCTTTTTCCTAGTAACCAGACCCATAAATGACTGACTGCATTTGCCAATGAAGAAATAACCAATTTAACCAGCATCACCTTCCCAAGCCCAGGAAAACGAAATATCTCAGCTTGTAAAAGGCATACAGGACAATAAAGCCCAGAATATTCTAGGATAAATTACACACACACACACACACACACGCGCGCGCGCGCGCAAGAGCAGGAAATTGCTGGCCACGCTGCTGCTGCGCTATGAAAAAGGATATGCCATTCTGGGTGGCATAATATGTAGAGATTATGATTTTTCAGATATCATCTTTCCCCCACCCCAGAGAAAGATGAGGAACGTCCAAGAGAGTTGCATGGCATTGGGGCAGGTAACAGCATCCCCCCACCACCTCTCTTGTCCTTTACTGGGGGAAACTCGCTGTTCACAAAAAAATGTTTTTCCACCACTCACATCCTAGTCAGTTTCCCTGCATCCTGCAGTCAGCATTTCCCCTCGCCCCCTCCTCCCCCCGGGTCAGTGCCACCGCCCCCGCGCCTCCCGCCCTGATCAGCAGCGTCCAGCCAAGCAGCCCCCAACTACCCCCAGCCCCCCACCCCCCTAGGCCCGTCCTGTCACCTGCTTGGGTGGTGTCCGTCAGGTCGTAGCCACTGCCCGGGAAGTCTCGGAGTTTCCTGCCACTAAGACTCAGAATGCCCGAGTTGCCCGCCTCCTCCAGGGCCCGGTCCAGGCTCCGCACGGTGTGTTGAGGTTGCAGGCTCCCTGGGTTCCACTGCGGCCCGTTGGGGAACGGCTGGCCAAAAAGAGTCGGCACCGAGATGGGCACCGCCAGGGTCCCGC